CGCTGATCTTAACCACTACACCAAACTGTCGAGCACCCATGTCCCACCTTATCTCACACATGGCAGCCAGTTTGGCTCAAAGTGGTTTCTTCCAGCTACAACAACACAGCTGTGCAGCGACGGCACACAAGCATTCACACATTAAACGTTATAAAGATAATTTTGGTTTTATTGGTTTTATTGTAAATCTCTGACACATGATTACTTTCAGAAAGTTATATTCTTGTGGGAAAATTAAGAGGCATGTTTCTTGTTCCTTTTCATTAAGCGATTCCTTATTGCATCCATTAGCTAATATCCTTACTTGAAGAGAGTAGCAGGGGTCATTTCCTGCAGGAGCGCACAGGAGCGGAGCTCCGGCAGTAAAAAGCCCAGGGGCGGGCACATGCAACAAGCCCCACCCCCTGCTCCCAGCAGCCCTCATTCAGAGCAAGAAGCAGCCACGTAAGTTGCAGAGCCCCCCCCCCTTCAAAACAGTCCAATGGCACCTTTAAGACCAAGTTTTATTCAGGTACAAGTTCTCCCTCCTCTGTGAGGACAGATCTGCACGTTCCCCCCCCCCAATAGCTAACAATCCAAACAGTCCAGTGGAGCCTGAGCGGTGGGTGTTGCCTTCTGACACACTTCCGGTGATGTCAGGGTGTGTGGCATATGCAAATAAGTTATGCTAATGAGTCATGCTAATGAGCTCCTGCACCCCTTTTTCTACAAAATGACCCCTGTAGAGTAGCATACTATGCTGAGATCAATCAGTGTGCAAAGTGCAGCCTACAAGTAGTCTGACCATTGTGAATGGTATATATCCGCACACACAATGAGAAAGTTTTTCACAAACCGGTAGAAATGTCATGCTCTGAAGTACTCATGGAGGAAAAAGATCGTTCTAAACTAGGGAGGGCAACACCTACACAGAGCCTACAACGACACATTTTTGTGCACTTTCGGAACAAGACAGAGAGATATTTCCTGAACTTTTCACCTACAAAGGCATAAATCACTGGGTTGATGCAACAGTGGATCATAGCGATTGTTTCAGTCACTTGAATTTCTACGCCAAAGCTGTCAGCACAGTCCTCTGTACATGGGGAAAAGGTGACCAGCAACAAGGTGGCGTTGTATGGCACCCAGAAGATGAAAAAAATCACCATGATCACAAAAATAAGCCTGATGGCTTTCAGCTTTTTATCATTCCTGTTCTTCATCAAAATCATGAGAATTTGCACATAGCAGACGAGCATAATGAGGAATGGAATGACTAGGCCCAATATGACCCTCATCAAAACTAAGAATTCTTTCAATTTACGTCCCTCTTCCATACGAAGGCTGCATCTCTGGCCCTCCTTTCTTTTCTGGACTTCGGAAAACATTAATGTCGGCACAGAGGCAATCACAGCCAGCAGCCATGTGAAGCCGCTTGAGAACATGCCATAGACCGCTGTTCTAGCTTTCATTGCAAACACTGCGTGAACAATGGCCAAGTATCTGTCGATGGTCAAAAGGATTATAAAGAAGCTTCCGCTGTAGAAACCAGTATCATAAGCAGCGGAGAGAATCTTGCACATCGTATTTTCAAACACCCATTCGTTTCCAGCAGCGTAAGCCCAAAATGGGAGTGAGACTATGAAAAGTAAGTCTGAAATGGCTAAATTGAGCAGATAGATATCAGTCATGCTTTTGAGCTTTTTGAACAGGATGAGGATGAGCACAACTAGCGCATTGCCCAGAAGGCCAAATACGAACACCAAAGAATAGAGTGTTGGCATCACGTGGGAATTGAATTTTTGGGAAGCCAGATCTTCAACTGGTGATGGTGCACCATCATAGTCATACGCTGTCGCCATAGTGATAGATGGCGAATCATCATCGTAAAACATTGTTGTTTTTATGGAACTGTCCATCTTCCTGTTTCCTGTGAAGGAAGAATGTATTTACAGGATATAGATTATCACAGTAAAAAAGGAGAAGAACCAAATTAGAATATATGCATCAGAAGCGTGGTGATCATATAATGGTGAACAGAGAGAAGTAAATTTTTGGTGAGCACAGCATTGTGTCGAGAATTGTGTCGAAATGAGTATTTTTTTATTTTACTTTTAAACATTTACATGCAACCTTTTCACCCAAAATAGGGTCCCCAACTTCATCTTGGAGTAAAAATACACAATCAGACAAGGTCCTCAGATGTGCTCGCCAAAAATTAGTGTTTCACAAATGAGTCTTTCTCCAGTATCTTCCACAATGAAAGGCTCTCTATAAACACTCTGTTCTCCCTCACTGCTACTTTCACACCTTTATATTCTAAGCTCTACTCACTGCCGCCCTGGCTGGTTTCTTCCTGTTCACAGTGTATTTAAAGAAATATTTGTTTTTAGGTTCTTAGCAATTTGCTTCTCAAATTTCTTCTTTGCTAGGGTCCCCAAGTGTTGTGTCCGCGGACCGCCACTGGGCGCCCGCGATACAGCGGAGCTTGAGTCCAGAGAACAATGGGGAACTACACAACACCACGGTCCTGGATAGCCCAGGCTAGCCTGATCTAGAGTTGCCAACCTCCAAGTGGTGACTGAAGATCTCCTGCTATTACAAGTGACCTCCAGGCAAAAGAGGTTGGTTCACCTGGAGAAAATGGCTGCTGTGGAAGTTGGACTCTATGGCATTATACCTCCTTGAAACCCCTCCCCTCTCTAACCCCTCCCCTCCTCAGGCTCTACCCCAAAATCTTCAGGTATTTCCCAACCCAGAGTAACTTTTTTTCCACCATAGAGAACAATGGAGGGGATGGGGGCAACCTGTTTGAGGGCCCGTAGAATTGGACCCCATGGTTCAATGTTCCTGAAACATGGCGGGTATCTTGGGGAGAGGCTCCAGCAGCTACCCTGCAAGTTTGGAGCCTCTCCCTCAAACCGTCTCTCCTCCAGCCCCCAGAATATACCCCATGTTTTCGCCATTGACTTCAATGGCCCATAGGATATAATGGGGCCGAACTGCGGGAAGCCGATTCAGATCAGAGAATCGCATACGGCCTGCAGCAGCCTGAAAGGGGCCCGAATGGGCCATTTTCGGGGTGCGTCCAGTTCAGACGGACATCCCTCCAGCAGCCGGCTTGCTCGGCTCTCTGCAGCCGCGGGGATCCTGAGCAAGCCAAGGGAAGGGAAGGTGGTTTAAACCGCCTCTCCTTCCCTCCAGCAGCCAGCTTGCTCAGGCTCCCCGAGCAAACCAAGGGAAGGGAAGGTGGCGGAGCAGCTGGAGATATTGAGCTTCAGCTCCTCAAGTAATGAGCACTCGAGCCCCGCCTCCAGCAGCACTCAGGCCGGAGCACCTGGAGCAGTCTTGGGAGGCGGATTGGCAAAAAGCAAAACCAAAAGTGCAGGAACTCGAGAGAACTCCAGGAATGGAGCCGGTTCCTCTTCCACAGCCCAAAATGCGACCCACGAAACCTGAGCTTGCTTTTTCTCATTTGCGAGTCGAGTCTGGCCTCTGCACTCCTTTAATGAGGCAGCCCTGAAGCTTGGGGCGGCGGGAGTTTCTTTGCAGGCAGCTTGTGTGGCAGGCTGAGTGCCTCTTCTGCTTGCCCACCTCTC